AAGCAGTTTTAAGAAAAAACACACCATTTTGTAAAACTACTCACTATTATGGTAACAAACACGAAAGACTATTTAGTACGGGAGGTTACTATTTATCATATTCTTTTAACAAATTTATGCATACGGTTTTACATTTTTTTGTAAAATATGTTTTTATTACAAATGTATTTCTTATTTCTATCATACTAATTACTTCAGCTACAGTATTCATGAACAATTAAAAAACTTTTACTGTCGAAACCAAAAAATAAGGCAAAGCAGAATATGTTGTAGCGGCCTCTTAAAAAATGTCATATCCTTTTTTTAACCTAAATAAACCCCCTCAGACTCGAGTCTTATGATGTTTGATAATAATAAAATTTAAATTTAAATAACGAATCTGAGACACAAAAAGACTTTTTTTTGGGTTAGAATGGAGATATTCTTTATTATATTTATTTATTTATAATATTATTTCGAAATTGTTTAGCTTATTGCGACACATGGGACTCTATCAGTGGTTGGTAGCTGTAAAGGCTTTGTTAGATTATATAGAATAAAGAAAATCCAGATCTACCCACTATTCATTCACCTTGTGAGTTGTGTTACACAGACAACGTCTTGTTTAAATTTGAGGCCACAACTTCATTCCTCTTTAAATCTAATTATAAAAATTGTAAATAAATACAAACCCCAGCGTAAATAAGCTCATCTTTTAACAGTTGTGTGAAACGTAACTTGAGCAATATGAGGTACTACACATTTTCACCTATATACAGTACTAAACATTTTGAACTTTATGCAGTACTAAACATTTTCAACTATATGCAGTACTACAAATTTTCACCTATATACAGTACTAAACATTTTCAACTATATGCAGTACTACAAATTTTCACCTATATACAGTACTAAACATTTTGAGCTATATGCAGTACTAAACATTTTTAACAATAAGAAGTACTAAACATTTTCGTTTAATTTGATGTTTTCTTATATTCTCTCTGCTACACTTGGGTTTCTACCACAGCTTTATTAAATACTTCAAGTTCATTTGGTCAAGATGTCGGAACGACAACTGCAGCAACCTCTACAGCAGCGGATGCATCAACCACTACAGTACCACCTGCAACAACCTCTACAGCAGCGGATGCATCAACCACTACAGTACCACCTGCAACAACCTCTACTTCAGCGTCTGGGGTAACCTCAAGCACACTAGGTTCCAATGCTAACAGCACAATTCAAACGACTACACATTCCGGGACAGTCAACATCCAGATAGGTAAAAGTCGAGCTCTGACGTAATTATCTTCTCTGTCCCCTAAATGTACTATAAGCAGGTGTTCTTACACATCTTAGCTTAACCTCTAGTATATTTTCTAAATAATTCTTTTTTTTTTTTTTGCACGTATGCCTTATGGGGGACGATTGTGTTAAAGACCCAGTTAAGGCGCCTTTTTGCCAAAGCTGACATAGAAGAGAGCACCTGGTTGCATGCGGCCTCAGAACGAGACAGCTGAAGGTCACCCACAAAGGTCGCGGGATACACATTTGTGACCAAAAGGAAATCTTCTGCCGAGGACAGACGCAGACGGCAAACAAAAAAATCTTAATCGACCACCTGCGGACAATGGCTTGGCTTGCACTGGAAGTAGCAAAATATGAAGGTCACGGCTGGGGTTGCGTGGGAAGGGAAAATACTACACTACCTCATTAATCTTCAGACTCGAAGACAAGCCTTATTATTATTATTATTATGTTTGCGGCTCCTCTGGTGGGTCTAAAAAAGTTTCTAAATTCGTCAAACTGTCTGGCTTCTGGTTTCCTTTGATTCCACACTGTGAGGGAATCCATTGCATCACCAGTCAAACTACATGACGTCTTGCTAAACACAAGGATGCTCTAACAACGATCAAGCCCATTAGAGACGTACATGCTCTACTCCCACGAACATCTATCACACTTCAGTTCCACTAATAATGTCTAATAATTACTTCCATAAGCATTTCTTAATGAATATAATTAATCTTTACTTATACCAAGGAGATGTCAAGTGACATTAAGGTCTGAGGTTATGTGTGAAGCAGGATAAAAAATGTCTAACTTTATTTTAACTTTGTCTCTCTCAGATCTTTTTTTATTCTCTGTCTCTTTACTTTTTTGTTTTCTAAAGAGTTCGTTATTAATTATGAGACATTCTTTCAAGGGGGCATACCAATTAATTTATTAATTTAACTAATTTATTGACTATAATTAGACTTTTCAGTAAGACTATGACTGAGATTACTTTGTTGATCCTTATCGAAAATAAGTTGTGATTGGCTTATCAGCCTCCGCATGTCCTACTCCTTTTAAATTTAACTTTTTTTTTTAAACCTGCGCTCTTCTTACTAGGAGAAATAGTGCGGTGTAGACGCCAGGCGAATGATTTTCAGAAGCTCAAAATGCAGGAAAACGCTTTGTTTAAGGAAGCGGTGGGGTCGTCACTCTAAAAACTTTGAGAAACATTGCTTTTAAGGCAGAAGTTCTTTACATAAAACAAAGTGTGTGACGTGAACTCATTAATTGAATTCACGATTACATTATTTGGTCTCATTTTTTCAGGATTTCTGTGCATTCTTCCATTGCTGTTGATCTCCATGGCGACATTGTTTTGATGGCGATGATAATAAAATAAATTGGATGATGCAGGTCAGTGCAGAAAATTTGGCTATCTTTAAAAATATTTAAACATATTTTGATATTCATTTTGGACGCGCGGTGGCTGAGTGGTAAAGTGCTTGGCTTCCTTATCAGGGATCCCGGGTTAAAATCCTGGTACAGACTGGCATTTTTATTTTCGGGATCTTTGGGAACGTCTGAGTCCTACCAGTTCTAATGGTACTTGACATTAATTGGGAAAAGTAAAGGTCATTGTGCTGGCCACATGACACCCTCGTTAACCGTAGGCAATAAAAACAGATGACCAGATATTCGATTTACGTTTTCACGCCGATGACCCCTATCACAAAAAAACAACATTAACTCATGAAATCTGAATTTAAAAGTACTTTATAAAAGACAAAACTAAAGTAAGGGAAAGAAATGCACAATTGCTGCCAAATTTTTTAAAATACTGCATGATTTACCTCCCTTTTTCGACACAAAACAAATTAATTTATTAATTAAATAATTGGTTAATTTTTTTGATTGATTTGTGTGTCGTCATTGATATTTATTATTTGTATAAAGTTCAATTTGAAACTATGGTGGGAAGTGGGATAAATAACGTGTTCAAGAATGTGTACCAGACGACAGATACTAGGACTTGATTTAAGCTTTGTAGAAATAAATATAGGCTTCAGCTGCCAACTGTAAGGTCCGAAAGTCCGAAAAATTTATTTATTTTTGTTTGTACTCAAAAGTCAACCGGTGGTCCTGATATGTGAAAGGGTGATCATCTTATAAAATTATGGATAGTGAGATACATCATGATGGCGAATCGAAGAAATTATACAGTGTTAATTAGATACAAAATAATTCTGCCAATATCACACATATATAAAGTGATATTTACCAACCCTTTTTATCTGGATTTCCAAAGTAAATAAGGAAGTGGATGTACTCTTGCGCAAACATTTTTGTAATTTTAAAATTAAGTTATCATTTGGCAGTAACTCAATGCTAGTAATACTACAACGAGAGCATGGAAGCGAAATCATACCCTAAAAATGTCTGGAGTTTGTATAAGTACATTATAACCATAGACATATTTATGTTTGTGAGTATCAATTTAATCACAAACTATTTGTGAGCGTTAGTTTCGAATGCAAATGTAATGACTCTTGATGATCGATCTCATACTAGCAGTAGGCACCGGCTACGCCGTTGATTTATTCATAGGCCTTTAATTGTTTTTAATGGCCGGATTTGTTTCTAGGTTTTAATATTGTTTATATGGCCGGAACACACCATTCTTTTCTTTTGTTCTTTCTTTGAATTTCAATAAACGGGCCACATTTTAACGATCAACCAAACATACTTTTTTTCAGTCCGTGAAATAGAGTATCTGTCAGTGTATCTGTCAGTGTATCTGTTAGAGTATCTGTTAGTGTATCTGTCAGTGTATCTGTTATAATAAAATTTCACGTTCCGTTCTCTATTTCCTGTACACCTCCTTTCTTGTCTTTTTTAGGGGGGGGGGGGGTAATAAACGGGCATCGTTTAAATGATCCTAGTGCGCCCCCAACACATACACGCACTCATATTTTGGGCATGTTAGTTCTTGTAGAACTATCACTTATCCGCCCCCCCCCCATCCGGACAAAAACAAAACGGTAGTCCGTCGTACACTCTTAAGACTTTTCTTCTTAATGTAATCTATATATTTATATTTCGACCATGATCACCTCATTCATTTTATTTTTGCAACCTTTAACCTAATGCAGGCGATTTTTAATCTTAATGCAAGCAATGTACTGTATTAGACACCGCAGTCATTTCTTCATACCACCAGTTTCGGGCCTAGAGGGAAAAAAAATCCATTTTCCGAAGGTCTCAATGGAATGCCACTGGGAGGTAAAAGTAACCCGTGTACGAAATTTGATACGGATACGTACGATAGTTTAAGAGATCTCGTGATAGATCAGTGGTATTTTTGCGTATATATAGTAGATTTCATGACATGGAATCATTACAATGAATCATTGCATTGAATCATCACATTGAATCATAGCATAAAATCATTGTTTTATTCAACACTGTTAATGTAATATGCGTTGGGCCCACTATAGAGCCTTCTTTGTTATTATACGTGCTAAATCTATTTTTATTTCGCTATTAGTTTTTTACACTTTTTGAAAGTCTTATAGGTTATGGAAATGAGTTATCATAGTGTGAAATTGATATTTTTACTGTTTTTTTATGATGTATTCTTATTTCGACCTTTTTTCTTCTTTTTTTCACAGATTGTTTTTTTTTTTATAGCTTTTTTGCGTAAGAAAAAAAATGTTTTTAGGTTTTGCATAGATGACGTACTTGACATTGATAAACTCTGGTGGAATTGTCTTGGATGGATTGATTTAATGGAACAACTTTTAAAGAACATTATAGTATTTTCATTTTATTAGGAAATATTAAAACTGTAAAATTCCTATAATCCAGTGAGAAACTCAAGTCTTAGAAAACATTTCAGTTTTGAGATTTAACATTTAAAAAGATAAAATATCAAAAACTTCCGGGGATGTCATAGAGAGTTAGAAGGGCAAGTGTCAACATTCACAAAGAAAAGTAACAGATTTTTTTTCTTACAGACACACTAGCTCTAACATCACTGAACACATTGGGAACTAATTGAAGAATTATGTTAATGTTTTTTTTAAAATCAGTTTTGAGAATCATTACAGAATAGATTCAAGACGATCACTTGACTCGTTGATAAATGAATATGATACATTCCAACATTGATAAGAAAATATGACTATAAAGCCAGTCAATGGACCTACAGTGATGCAATTAAGACAATGTGTCTACATTGATAAGAAAATATGATGTAATAAAGTCAATCATTATTCCTACATTGATAAGAGATTATGATGCGATAAATTGACTCAATTTTCCTACATTTATAATAGAATGTAATATAATGAAGAGATTAAATATAAATACTTTGTCTTGAAGTCAGTCCCATCGTTATATGACATGTCAAGCGAATATTTGATTATTTATGTCTTTTTTTTTCTTACTATACATATGTTAGACGTTAAACCGTAAACATCTAGGGCTTACTATTGATATTGAAATATGCTAACATCTAGGACCTACTATTGATATTTAAATATATGCCAACGTCTAGGGCCTACTATTGATATTGAAATATGCCAACGTCTAGGGCCTACTATTGATATTGATATATGCCAACGTCAAGGGCCTACTATTGATATTGAAATATGCCAACGTCAAGGGCCTACTATTGATAAATTTGCCAACATTAAAGGCCTTTTATTGATATTGAAATTCGTTAATGTGCAGGGCCTACTTATTATATTGAAATATACACAACCTTTAGTGTCCTTCAGAGTCTTCACTCATCTTCTAGTTTGCTAAGTATATAAAGCATATCTGTGATACCATACATCTAATTATAACATTCGATACATATGACGTGACATCCATAAAATATACGCATATATATGTGTATATATATATATATATATATATATGATATATCTATATATGCTACTGACTTAACGTTATGTTTACACATTTTTATAATGTTTGTTTTTTGTAAATTAAATTTATATATTAAATATTACATTTTAAAATCTAGATTCTTATTTTCTTTATACCTTAGTATTATAAAAAATAAAAAATGTCAAGATCATCAAGTGAAATGATTAAGAATAAAATTATAAGTGCGAATCCTCACCAACATTTGTGTGAGAACTATCTTGAAACTACAGTGGTATAACAAAGTAGAAAAGACCAAATTGTAAGAGACTGATGTACAGTGAGATACTGAGGTGCAGATCTTAGAAAGAAAAAGGAGATGGATTAGCCACACCCTAAGGAAATATGTCAACAACAGAGAGCTTACTTTAGATTGGGGAGATGGATTGGTCACACACTAAGGAAATATGCCAACAACAGAGAGGTGATCTTAGATTGGGGATATGGATTGGTCACACCCAAATGAAATATGCCAACAACAGAGAGCTTACTTTAGATTGGGGAGATGGATTGGTCACACTCTAAGAAAAGATGACAACAATAGAGAGCGGACCTTAGATTGTGGAGATGGATTGGTCACACTTTACAATACAAATAAAAAAAAAACTTTTGACCAAAATCTACAACCGTTTGCATAAAAGTGTAAAAAAAATATGGTAGATTGTAGTCCCTCCTAATAAAGAGCCTTAAGTGATTGTTACTATAAATAGTGAATAGTTGTAAAAGTGGTGTACTTTTATGAAAAAACTGCTTGCATAAGTGATTTAAAAAATTAGATTTTTCGCTATTAGAAAAGCCGCTCTTTAAAAACAAGCTGTGAACGAAGTATACCTCCGTGAACAAATCACATGCAGGGCACGTATAGAAAGACATGATGAAGTTTATTCTTAGATTATTTGAATATGCAAATTGGCTAAAACTGTTGCTTTGTTAGCGCACCGACTAAAGAGAGGGGTGGAATGACAAATTTTTCCCCTTTTTTTTTAAAGTGAACAAGATTTATTTTTTTGAAGGTCATGTGAAAACGTTAAAGTGTTATTGTTTGTTGGTTTAATAGCAAGCCTAAATGTTCTTGTGTTGACTGGAGTGTTAGCAAATGTGAGCTGGCTTGGCAAGAAAAAGAAACAATGGGGGCGGGGTGTGTAAATAAGGAAAGAAGGTAAAAAGTGAAGGGGAGGGAGACAGTCGCAGGACAAAAAGTTATAAGTACGCTTTGGGACAAAGAAGACAGGGATAGAGAAAGAAATAAAGAAAGAAAAAAAGAGAGAGAATGGTGTGTGTGGGGGGGGGGGAGGTCGGAAAGGAAAAAGGAGAGTGGAAGAAGAGAACTGAGGTAAAGAGAGAGAGATCAAAAGAAGAGAGCGAGAAAGAAAGAGAGAATATGAGAAAGGAAAAAAGGAGAAGAGAGAAAGAAGAGAGAACTGTCCGGGCTCACTGGTTGTGACCAGCTACGTGAGGAGGCACAAAACCAAAGCAAAGCCCTCATCCCGCTGGATCACTAAAGTGGTCATGGTCAACATCGAGCCACGATGGACGGACTATATATATATATATATATATATTATGGGCGTAGCCCTTGGGGGTTTGGGGTTCAACCCCCCACCCGAAATGAAATTCCCACCCGCAGGTGGTGGGGGTGTCGGAGTTTAGTGACTGATCTTTTGCTTTAATTTTGTTTATTTTAGGTAAAATTTTAATATTTAACCATCACTTGCCCTAGCACAGCAACTGGTGTTTTGAGTTTAAAACCCCCCTACCAGGGGGTTTTGATTTTGAAATCCCATACCAGGGTGTTTTGGGTTTAAAAACTACTACCTGGGGTTTTGAGTGAAAACTCCTACCAGGGGATTTTAAGTTTAAAATCCCCTACAAGGGGTTTTGAGTTTAAAACCCCAATCCAGGGGGTTTTGAATTTCAAAACCCCTACCAGTGGGTTTTAGTTTAAAAATCCCTACCAGGGGTTTTGAGTTTGAAACCCCCTACCAGGGGGTTTTGAGTTTAAAACCCCCTACATTTGCATTTAAATCCCTCTCTTTAAAAAAAAACAAAAAAAAAATGCAAACGAAATTCCCCAAATTCCAAGCACTTCTAACAAAGATTTGGATTTTAAACCCCTCTCCAAAATTTACGAATAACTTCTCTTTAATATAAAAAAGCAAATTACACAATCAAAATTTTATGAACGTAGCCAAAGGGGTTTTGAGTTTAAATCCCTCTTCAGCTGGGTTTGAAGCTAAAAATACCTCTTCAATATAAAAAAAAGCAAATTACGCACTCAAAATACTATGAGCATAGCCAAAGGGGTCTTTAGTTTACCCCCCCCCTCTCCCACCGCCAGCGGGGTTGGAAGCTAAAAAATAAATCTTCAAAATAAAAATAAATACATTTCGCAATCAAAATGCTGTGAGCGTAGCCAAGCCTATTCGGTGTTTTGAAATAAAATTTCCATTCAGAGGGGTTTGATGTAAAAAACAAACAACTTCTTCAATATAAAAAACAAACAAATTACACACTAATATTCTTTGAGCATAGCCAAACCAAAGGGTGTTTGGAGGTTGGAGGTTGAGTTTTAACCTCTCTCCTACAGATGACTTTTTTAAAAGTTTAAAACCCATCAAGATAGTTTTGAGTTAAAAATCCCTCTACATAGGTTTTTTTAGGTTGAAAGCCTCTCTCTTCAATATTATTTCTCAAGCAAACTACAGTCACCTAATTCTATGACCGTAGCTAAATGTGGTTTTTAATTTAAAAAAAAAACAACAGATATAATTTAGTCTAAAACCTTCCAACAGATGATTTTGACGATAAAACTTCCCTTTTTGATATGACATCTAAAGCAAAATAGTCACCCAATTCCAAGATCGTAGACAAGAGAAGTTACACATGTCTATCCCACCCCCCCTGGCTACGCCCTTGATATATATATATATAAAGAGAAATAGGAGAGAGAGAGAGAGAGAGAGGGTAAGCAAAAAGTAATAAGAAAAGAAACATTAGAGAGTGAGCAAAGAGAGAGTGAGCAAAGAGAGAGTGAGAATGAGAGCAAGAGTGAAGGGAATAGCAAAAAAAAAAACACCATTATAAACAAGGTTACACAGACAGTTTGTGTGGAAACATAAACTCAAAATCGGCTCACGAAGTGGTCCACACCGATTAGGTAAAAAGGCAGGCTTTAATATTTTCAGAAAGAATATCAGAATGAAATTCTATCAAAGGCAAATAACAGAGAAGAATGGAGAAAGAAGGTTGACGGACCCTGTGTGGTGTCCCGAAAATCCAGCAGACCAAGGCATAGGTGAAAGTGAATGGGAAGTTGAATGTGAACCTGGCCTTACTAATGTCTTATAATGAATATCTAATTGATCTTATTGTTTTGTAAAAGTCAGTCTCTTATTCAAATCCTCAAGAAAAAAATATATCCTTAAAAAAAATAATTCCTTTTTTAAATTCCTTTAGTTTTGTGTTCCTTAACATTTACTTGGCTCTACAGTTCACGCGATAATATTAAAAAATACTTATTAATTGTTGTTTTAAAATTATGTCCAACTAATTTACATAGTAAATAGATTTTTTCTCTTTAAAAATTTTTTTTTTGTAAATGTAGTATTTAGTTTGACAGAACTTACATATAACTAAGCAATTTGGGGATTGCGTTTGGGGGTTTTAAACTCAAACCCACTTGGCTGTGCTGGGGCAAGCGATGGTTTAGTGTTAAAATCTCACCTAAAATAAACGAAATCAAAGCAAAAAATAAGTCACTAAATTCCGATCCCCCCTGCGAAAAGGGGGGGGGGTGATTTCATTTCGGAGGGGGGGTTAAATCCCAAACCCTCCCCCTAGCTACGCCCGTGGTATGTATTCATGCTTTACTCTGCTTTGCAATATGTAAATATCCAGCATTAACTTGGATCGATTTCCCCTACAAGTAATCACTTCTCTGTTCAACAGCAGTCTCTGATACTTATCTTTCATTTTGCATTGCGTTCTGTCACAGTTTACTTCTATTTCACATTTATTGTTTTGTAACAAAAGAGAACGACTGCAGAAAGACAAAGGAACACTGAAACTTTCCCAGGTCTCCAGCCAATCCGAAAAAAGGAAGACAGATTCTATCAAAATAATCAATACAATCATGAACATTTGTGAATAGAAATGAGAAGATATGAATAGAAATCAACATTTAAAAAGAACACATTACGATTGACGCTGATACAGTTTAGGCCTCTTTGTACTCCGAGGCTGTACACAAAATATATTTAACAGGTTGCTATTGAAAATACAGTTTAGTGGTCATCCCTCCCAGAGAACAGGTAGCAGTTTGGTAAAGTTACACATTTGTAAGTTTTAACTTAAGTAGGAATTAAATTGTTAGTGAAAACATTTATACAATTAGTTTTGTTAAAAAAATAGACTTATTTATCTTTGTTAAGTATTTTGTCATTTTAGATTTCATTATTAAGTGTTTATAAATTATTAATATGTCTGTAAAAGTACAAATTTAAAAGTAAAACAGTATAAAGAAAATAAGTACATACAAACATTTTTATAAAGAATCCAAAAACAAAGGAATCAATATAACACCATTTGGTATCTACTTATTGTAAAGCATCTTTGTCTCTAGGATCTGCTTTAAAAAGTACAAATTTGAAAATAAAACAGCATAGAGGAAATAAATAAATATATATATATATATTAACACATTTTTATATAGATACCAAAAAACAAATGAATCACTCAATATGACAACATTTGGTTTGGATTTATTATAATGTACCTTTTGATCAGTAGGATCTATAGTAGGTGTTCTGTTATCAAGTCTAAATACAGAAGTTATTAATCAGAAGTATTACTCTTGCAAAGACAATTTCGAGAATTCCTATTCAAGAAACAAGTTCAATCTTCGCACT